TCAGCATCCTGTTTGACTCTTTGCTAAGCTTGATAGCATTAGTTGCCAAAAATGACTTTTTTTTTTAACCTCCAGTTTGCTAGGAACCTTCATCCCTTCCTCCATCCTGCCCACCCTGAAATTGACAAAGGGGAAGTGGCCAGGGAATCTTTATGCTGTGTCAATTCTTGGCTGACATAACAGCTCCTTAGGATTGTAGGTGGCTGGAATGAAGTGATAAACTCGCTGAGGATCTGTGCTTAAAAGCTCAAGACCCAAAAGGAAGTAGTTAGGCAATATGGTATCTTTTTATAAAACAACAGTAAATTCCAAATGGTCAAACCTAAAATTTCAACTGCCAGTATTTAGCAGTAACTGACCATCACTACTACAACTTGGATTGACTCTCAACTCTAACTTTTCTTTCACATGACAATTCTGACAAAAATGAGAAGCATCTCAAGAAACATTTTGCTATAACTCCCTTGAGCAAAGGTAGATCTAATATATTGAGTTCACTGCAATAAAAGGTGAATGGGATTTTGTTTTAAAGTTTTTGTCCTTTTCACATACAATGAAGAACTTTTTCAGATCTAGTTAATGAACTATTAAATTATGGAGTAAGAAAACTGCTTGCAAAACAATACAGCTTTAAAAACAGAGACCCCAAATCAGACTCATCGTCGCATATGAAGGTTGGTATCTGCTTTCCTTGAAAAGTGCCTAATATTGAAGCATACTGCTGCAAATGTATTTAACAAATACTGTACATGAAATCAGTCTAAAAATGCAGAACATGTTCTAAGCTATCAGCATGATTTCTTATTTGAGGGAAGAACAGCATGCATCAGGATGCTTCTAGATCAGGCTCATCCCAAAGCCTTTTTAAAATTAGATTAAATAAGATTTAGTTAAATTTCTTATGGACTCTGCTAATTCAAGCAGACATTGGTGATACATTTCTTTTGCTTATTGAAAAGTAGATGTCTTACTGAACAAATATTCCAATTAAAATAGAGAAAAACGCCTGCACTACTAGTCAGTACAGTTTTGGCAAATTATAACAAAGGAAAGTGATGTGCGATTACAATTTAAAAAATTCTTGTTACTGGAATTTGCACTTAATTTCATATTAAAACATTAAATTTCTTTAAAAAACTCACTAAACAGTCACAAAAATAAACAAAATAACGTTTTAAAGAGTTCTTTCAGATTAGACACAAGAGTGATCCCTGAGCCCAAAGAGGGAGGATGGCCACCTGGAGAGTATTTTCTCCAAAAAATCCCAAAATGAAAGTGGAAAAACACGGAGTAGACTAATGCAAGAATGCCCAGGAGTGCTGCTGACTTCCTGAAGCCCAGGTGGTGGAGGTCCTGATTAATGAAAGCATGGGAGTTCTTCAGGCTTTACTGAACGACACCTCAGACCTTAGTCACCAGGAAGAAGACAATGATGTGACTAGTGAAAACACAGGTCCCCAGATTGCCTGGCTGCTGAGTTAAGATATTTTAACTCCCAGTTCATCACAAACCTGTAGGGATGAATATTCATTGTATGTCTGTAACAATTTTTTTTTTTTAATGGAGATATCCTATCTCCTAGGACTGGAAGGGGCCCTGAAAAGTCATTGAGTCCAGCCCCCTGCCTTCACTAGCAGGACCAAGTACTGATTTTGCCCCAGATCCCTAAGTGGCTCCCTCAAGAATTGAACTTACAATCCTGGGTTTAGCAGGCCAATGCTCAAACCACTGAGCTATCCCTCCCC